ACATTCTTATTTTCCCATTTCGTGGAGGAAACTAAAGCTTAGAAACAGCCTTCAAAACAGCAGTCCAAATAAAGGTATAATCATTTCTATTTTTAATTTAATTTAATTTTTAAAATATACTTTATTTTATGTGTGTGAGTATTTTGCCTACATATATGTAAGTGCACCCATGTTGTGTAATGCCTGCAGAGGCCAGAAGGAGGTGTCAGATCCCCTGGAACTGGAGTTAGAGACAGTTTTTAGCCACCATATGGGTGTTGGGAATCGAACCTGTGTCCTCTGCAAGAGCAACCAGTGCTCTTAACAACTGAGTCATCTCTCCACTCTCCAGCCCCCATGGTACAATCTTCTTTTTTTTTTTTTTTTTTTTTTTGGCCTGTTGAGACAGGGTTTCCCTGTAGCCCCAGCTGTCCTGGAACTCACTATGTAGGCCAGGCTGGCCTCGAACTCACAAAGATCCACCTGCCTCTGCCTCCCAAGTGCTGGATTAAAGGCGTGCACCACCACGCCCGGCTGATGCAATCATTTTTAATGACAATACTTTGCCTCAAATGCTATATAATTACAAAGACATCTAGAGACCCACCAAAAACTTTCCCAAGGCAAGAAAAGTAGGGTAAAATGGTTTAATCAATCATATGTACTGACGTATGCCTGTAATTCCAACGTTTGCCAGACTGAGGCACGACAATTGCCATCCTTGGCTACGTAGTGAGACCCCATCTCAAAAAATAAGATAAAATATTTTAATCATATTCATATATTGGAAAGGGAGGTGAAAATGCTGCTCCTCTTTCCTGCTTTGTTACATGGTTTGCAAATGGACTTGATAGTATAAAAAGTCTGTTTCTCTCCTCCCAGCACCCACAACTGACGAGAGAAGGAAGGCATCATTAAACTGTTCCTCACTTTGGCGATTGTGGAGGAACTTGTGTCTCTGTGATCTTCTGAGTGCTGGCAGTCACCATACTGCTGTTCCCCAGGGAATCCATGGAAACAGACCTCTGCCCACACAGGGCCCTCATTCAGTACATTGGTGACCACAGGTATGGGTGGATATGCTGAAGCCCCAGTCAGGATAAAAGGGTTTCCAGCCCTAAATGAGATTTGGCCTTTAACTCCTGTATTTGTGACAGGAATAAAAAGTCTAAAAGTAGAAAACCAAGGTATCAGACCCCTTTCTCAAAATCCTTAAGAGATCCCTAACTCTTAAAATCTTACTTTTAGTGTGGGCTGATCTCTCTGGGCTTAATGAAATTTTCTAAAGCAGTGATGTGATAAAGTATGATATCTCCCTCCATGAGGGGCAGAAAAGCCAGTCCCTAAGCCATATGTCTGTGTGAGAGTTACCATAACCCAATGGAATTGCTTGTGTCAGTCCTAATATAAATAAGTAAATGAGCGAGTAAATAAAATAAAGCAAGCCAGTAGATTACAAAGAAAAAGATCACATGTACAGATGCCTGATAACAAAAACTATCATAAAAGATTTTACCATAACCATAGCTAAGATGGTTGATCTTGATTGCTGACGTGATTGGATTGAGAAGCGCTGGAGAGAATAACAAAGAACAACATTTCTGGGTGTTTCCAGAGAGGATTAACTAGGGGCGGAAGGCCTACCCACCCCCATAGGCTGGGGACCTGGATAGACTAGGAGGGAACTGGTAGGGGACACTTGGCAGCACAGGCATTCTCTCTGCTTTCCAGTCGCCATAATGTGAGCCGCTCTGCTCTACCATCCTCTCCCTGCCACAATGGACAAAACCTCTGAAACTGTGAGCAAAAATAAACCCTTCCTTCCCTGAGTTGTGACTTTTGGTCACAATGACTCTAAAGAAACTAATATAACAACTCTGCATAAAAGCCACCACAACCTTACGCAAAAAAGTACTTCAGGAAGAACATCAGCCCAGCAACTGCCTGTCCAGCCTCAGACGGATGTCAGCCCTGTTATGAATCCCTGTGGCCAAGGATTATTCAAAGTAATTTATACAATGTTCATTTTGCCTTTTAAAACTTCCTTCCTGATTTAGCCATGTGTTTTTCATGCTGTTAGTTTATCTGAATCTCTCTCTCTCTCTCTCTCTCTCTCTCTCTCTCTCTCTCTCTCCCTCTCTCTCTCACACACACACACACACACACACACACACATCTCTCTCTCTCTCTCTCTCTCTCTCTCTCTCTCTCTCTCTTTCTCTCTCTCTCTCATTGAGAAGGCTCTCATGTAGCCCAGGCTGTCCTCAAGTTTGCTATATAGCCAAAAATGACAAGAACTTCTGATCGTTCTGCTGTTACCTCCCAAGTGCTGGGATTCCAGATGTGTGCCACCACACCTGCTTCACCTGGTGCTGCAATCATACAAGGCAAGCAATCTGCCAACTGAGCTACATCCACAACCCCCCGAATGTTCTCTCTTTTATTAATATTTTGTTAGCACACAGAGAAATAGGTTTCACTCTGACACTTCGTCTCTAGTTTTATTGAACTTTGTTATTTGTCCCCTCAGGGCCCTCCCCATCCCCCTTCTCATCTTGTTGATCCCCTTCCTCCTCTGTAAATAGTTTCCTTCTGCTTATGACATATATATTCCACTACTCTCTTCTGTTCCCCTCACTCTCCATCCAGTTATGTAAATTTTCTAAATTTTCTGTTATGTATCTTTTTAATAATAGAAAAAGAGTGTTATAAAGCCTGCTTTTAGGAAAAATTGGCTACCAGACATGGAACACAGATCACCATCAGAGTTGAATAAACATAACCAGAGAGATAATGCACTTGTTCTGGGAGCTCTTCAAACCCATCAATGAAGTTGATCTGTGGCTCTCACTCTGGTTAGGAAACATGACAAGGAAGTAAGGTAGGAATGCTGCACAGTACCCTATCTGAGCCAAGATTGACCTAAATGACAGATTTATATGCTCTTTAATAGGCATTATATAGAATTGATGATCAAATGAAAGATATGTGCTCATTTACAACCAGTGGGCCAGTAAGATGGTTCAGCAGGTAAAAGTACTTGTTGCCAAGCTGACTTCCTGAGTTTGATACCCCGGACTGACATGGTAGAATGACAGAGTTAACTCCTGCAAGTTTGTCCTCTGACCTCTATGGGCACATTGTAGCATGCATGCATCAGAGATCCATGGTGGCATCATAACTTTATTTCTATGGGAAACTCCATCTGACAAGTTGTTTTGATGCTAGGTCTTTTCTGACCAGCCGTGACTTGCAGAGGAGCTAGGCAGTGCCTCGCAACTGAAAGGTGGGAACATGTCACAGTCTCCGTACTTTTTCTGTATATTTGAAGTATTTTCTGGTTTTATAAAAGAAATTTGGAAACCAAAAGTTCTAGGCCTGCCTGGTTACTGAGATCTGGAAGTGGAATTGGCAGGATCAGTGACGGTGTTCTTGAAGTTATTTCTTCATTCATTCTCCAAAGTGGTTGAGCCACTGTGAGGGCACGGTGAGGAGGAGCAAGGCTCTGGCCTTGTCCTAGGAAGCTTGGGCACTCTACAGAGAGAGGGAAATACCAGAGCAGGGACCAAAAGTGAGGCAGGAGCACTGAATCCACAGGGGCTTTTCCAGCTTCACTTGGAAAGGAATGGGATGGTGGAGCTCAGGTGCTGGGAGCAGAAGGGATGAAGGTGGAGGCCAGGTACAGCAAAGAGTTAAATATGAGTGCCAGTGTATCCTGCTCTTTCCATCTCTACCTTTCTTTGGAGGGCTCATTCATTTACATAGCTTCTCTTTATTTTCAGTGCTAGAGCTTGAACTTAGGGTCTCACACATGCTCAGCCATCACTCCACCACTGAGCTACATTCTCAGCCCTCCATGGCTTCTTCTGGCATAAGATAATCCATCTCACTCTTCTGCCCCATGTTCTCCCTTACTCCAAGCTCACCCCCAAAGGACATCTCTTCAGGAAGCCTCACAAGCATATACTGCTTTGACCATCCCACCCCCAAAATGACTCCACCTCTTATATCACCACATCAGGGCAGACAGCAGCCATCTTCTAGGCTGCCAGAAACCTCAGGCTTCCTGCTCTCCACTGGCTAGAAGGAACCTCTGAGG